CTGGTTTTGGGATACTCAAAGAACTTCGTTTTCAATACACATTTTAAAATTCTGTTTTCTTGGTCTGATATATATGCAATCTTGTGTTTCTGATTTGGGTATGCTCATTTGGAGTGTGCCGCAACATTCATTTTTGCCTGTGGCTGATCGGACCTACTCGCGTCTGCGGTGTGGCTGTTAGGCGCTTCGCTGTCGCGCGCACGACACTCGAGTTTGATTCCCGGTTAGTTAAATGACCTAAAAACAGCAATTGCAAACGTCTGCAAAAACCACGTAATTGTTCTACAGTGAAAACCATCTCACTGTAAATTTTTTCGCAACGAAACCGCTGAATCCCACTTAGCAAAAGAAGGTCTCAATCAAAGCAACCTAAAAAAATGGACAAATCTTTTGGAAGGCCAAAAACACCATCAAAAGGGGCTGCAAGCAAAATGGAAGGAACAACACACACGACAACCAGACTGACCCTTACCACAGGATGTGATTTGTTGTATCATGTCAGCTGTTATTTTCCTGTTCATATTGAACTGCTTATATCTTATCTTATCTTATCTTATCTTACCTTATCTTATCTTGCTTTATCTTCGTATCTTATCTTATTTTACCTCACCTCTCCTCACCTTACCTCACCTCGCTTGCCTTACCTTACCTTACCTTTCCTTTACTTTCCTTACCTTACCTTACCTTACCTTACCTTACCTTACCTTACCTTTCCTTACCTTTCCTTTCATTTCCTTACCTTACCTTACCTTACCTTACCGTACCTTACCTTACCTTACCTTACCTTACCTTACCTTCCCTTACCTTACCTTACCTTTCCTTTCCTTACCTTACCTTTCCTTTCCTTACCTTACCTTACCTTTCCTTACCTTACCTTACCTTACCTTACCTTATCTTACCTTACCTTATTCCAGTAACGTACAACGCGGCCATCAACTGCTTCATCCATGTGGTCATGTACACTTACTACGGTCTCTCAGCCCTGGGACCCAGCGTACAGAAGTACCTGTGGTGGAAGGTTCACCTCACCAAGCTGCAGCTCGTAAGTCTAGCAAATTCTCTACCTTAGAATCACAAAGTTCTGTAGGACATTTTTGGCCGTTTTGAGTTACTAAGACCACGAGGTCAGAAACCAAATTTCTGTCCGCTGTATCAAAATCGTAAGATTATTCGAAGTCGTTGTCAAAATATTTAAAAGAATTATATTCGAGAAAGCTTGACATGTTGAGAAACTCGCAACTTTCAACGTCAAAGTTCGGAAAACTAGGCAGTGAGCAGGAAGAACGTAAATTATCCATCGTCTTTAACTCCGTTCTCTAGGGAAGCGAAACGTTAACTCATAGAAGAAGCGCTATTTTTGCTCGCTTGAAGACGCACTATTGTGACGTACCTAAAGAAGCATAACTTTGTTAGTCCTGCAGGTGTTCCTTTATTTTGTTTGCTTTATTTCAAAGTTATAAAGGAAAGCATCAGCATGCCATGAAATAATGCAATTTCTGATTTGTGTATGGTGGTTGGAAGTGTGCCACAACATTGCCTTTGGTATACTGCCTGTCGGACATACATGCATCCGCCACCCCTAAACTTCGGGTAGCTAAGATCTAACAGCTAGCATTCTTGGATAAGGACGAAGAAATCTCGAAGGTCCCGTGTGCAAGCTGCGCACGTTAAATATCCCGTGAAGGTTAAAAATTCGATAGTCCGCCTTGTAGGCTTCGGCCGCAACCCGGGCAACATTCAAAATTAATTCCTACCAAACTGATATGTCCCCGCACGCTCATATGACCTTATTCAGTTGCGAGCGCCGTAAAACACTTACTAACCAAATTCATCAGACACCTCCCCAAAGAAACCCTCAACCTTCTTTTTGACATAACATTGTTATCATCTATCGGCTGTTCAGATGTATTGCACTAAGCCCATTTTCTTCCACACAGATTTGGTCATTATCATTTATTATTATTGTCTTTAAAGTAAGAGTACCACTGATGTCTTCCTTCTTAATTTTACAAATCCTTGCCTGTAAAAAAAACCAACTGGAGTAACAACACCAATAACAATAAACTATAACAAAAGCAATATCAGCATCATCATCAACAACAGCAGCAGCAGCAACAACAACAACGACGACGACGACAACACCAAAATCATATAATATGATGTTAACTTTGTCAATACATCAGAGTATGAGTTACTCGGTAGGCCTACATGCACATCCATATCTTTTACCACCACAGCCACCCTCACCACCATCACCACCTTCACCACCACCATCACCACCACCAACATCCCCACCACCATCCCCTCCACAACAACAACACCAACTACACTAACATTTATTGACGAAGGTTCTTTACCCCCCC